AAAGAATATTCAAAAACAAAATACTTAAGTATAAGAGTTCTGTCAATTTTTTTTTTTTTACTTTTATTTGATCTCTGTTTTGAGTTATACTTCTCTATCTAATGTCATCAACTTATAATGTTTTATTTTTATTTATTTTTTTTTTGATAAGAAGAAGAAGTAAATATTATTTTGTTGTTATTTTTTTTTAGTTTTTAAATCAGTATTGAATAAAAATTTAACATGAATATATATAATTGAAACAAAATAAATACATATATAATTAAGTGAAAAGACAATATATGTATACATAAAAATAAAAATACTTATAAGTATGTATATATATTATTCCTTTGTTTACAATTGCTTTGAACACAAATATTTTTTTTCTTTCTGATCTTGAATCAAGTATCATGTTAGAGTAAATTTTTAATTAGTTGATGCAAGATGTTGTATATGTAGGGTGCTATGGGTAGGTTCAGAGACTGTATTGACAAAATGAACTTGGACTAACGTAAAAATTACCATATATAAGTTATTTTGGGTATTGCTATACAAACTAGAGCCGTAGGCAATACAATGGCTGTGTATTATTTGAATAGCAGAAGGGGTGGGAGGCTCAGGTCATTAGACATAGGGACATTAGGACGTAATGAAATTAAAAGATCGCAGGTATCATAATTCATAACTTTTTTATTATTTTTTTTTTTTTTACACGAAGAATTTTATGTTGGTGGTTGTGTATGTTTTGATAGTGATAAGAATTCACGAAAATACGACGAGGAGCCGGAAAAAAAAACACCGTGTCACATTTCAACTTTTCAAAACATACCTAGTTTTGTCATAAAAAAGCAACCATAACAATAGCCGTAGCATCATACAGCATGGGTGATGACTTCTTAAGTTTTACTTTTTTAAATAAATTAGAACTTACCAAAGAAACATCAGCTCTGGTATCGGTTATAAATTGGATTATCGGCCGATATAAATAGTTTTTTGAATGAAATGTACATGGTTCTTTACATTGTTTAGCATTTTTGCCAAACTAGAAATGATACTGTTAGAATTTTCTTGATGTGGTATACTATTTATAAAGTAAAAAAAATGCCTCTAAACAAATAAAGCGTGATTCAATGTTATTCGAAGAGTATCCTTGCAGTTGTGGTATTTGCACTTTTGATGAGTATGAAAGTATTCCTGAAGAGGAGGTCCCAACATTATCATTTTGATTAACATATTGTGGTGCTTCAAGGAATTCGTCGTTATTGCCCATATTGTTAAAAATCAACTTAAATTATGTAAAACGATGTGTGTCCACAATTATTATTACTTACATAAGTAAATAAAAATACCAGATTTTGTATGCATTAATTTTTTTATTATTCAATTACATATTTACATTTTAATATTACGGATTTTTATTATGAAATAATTATTTTATTTATTTCGGTACATAAAACATCTTATCTGAACAATAAATATAGGAAGTGTAATTTAACTATGTTCCCGTACTAATTATGTACTCGTCTGGATTTCAAGTCGTTAAATTATATTTTGTTGTTTTATTTATTAATACATAATATGTAAATTTTCATAATCTCTCCAGATTTTCATAGTTGGAAATTTAAATATGTGACAATAGACAGTTTGTAACATAATCTAAACTCAATGAAACTGAATGTATCCGCAAGAGTTTACGTTTTGGGCAATAAGAGCATTTGTAGAAATTTAAATATATGTATATATGTATCTTTGGCTCATAGGTTTCCCGAATTCGATATTTATTATTAACTTTGACGTACCTTCTTAAAAAACAGATTTGGCGTGCTCTCAGCTATGCGTGTATAAAAGGGCTTTAATGTGTCAATTAACAAATATTCACACTTTCACATTTTATTCATATTTATAATTTTCCCCTATTTTTTCAAAATGGACGTCTTTGTAGTATTTTTTTTTTTACTCAAATATTGAAAAAAAATTTATTCTTGAAAAAAAAAATATTTTTTAATAGACATCCCACTCGCATCCCATTATGGGACAATAAAGCACTTCAAGGAAATTGTATAAGCTTTCTATTAAGCAAAAAACAAAAAAGGGTCCATTTAAAAAAAAAAATTAATTTAAAAAAATAAAAATTAATTTTAATTTTTTGGAAACAATGAAGAAATAACTATCTGAACTCCTTTGAACAATTTTTGCTAGGACCAGTAGATGAAAAGTTACACTCATTTGAATAAAACCCTGTATGACAAAATGTCCAATTTTGACCCTCTCCAAGTCCGGCAGTTCTTGACCGATAGATCTGAAAATTTGTGTCTGGCCTACTATCCAATTGTACTAACCTTGGTGCAATTTTCGTCAAAATCGATTTTTTGAGTTGGGTCACTTGACATGAAATTGCCTATATACATATGTACATATGAATATTAAAAATATTGTATAAGCGAACAGAAAGATTTTTACAGTCAGGATGCACTAAGTAAGGTGAAGTCGTCAAGGCAGCTGATTTTGATTTGTTTATTTAAAAAGTGTATGGGTTGTGTTAAAATAAATTTATTTATTTTTATGTTCATAAAAAGTTTTCAAGTTTATATTATATTCAGATGAAGAGGCATTAAGCGTTAAATGTACCTGCGGTTTAATATGTAATATTGTGAAATACCTAAAAACTATTAGTTTTCAATGTCTATTAGGCGCTGCGAAAAATTGCCCCAATGTTGGGGTCAAAATTCATTATGAAGTATAACCCTAACATTTTTTAAGAAAAATCACCCCAAAATTAATGAAAAATCTCCCCAAGGTTGAAATGAAAAGTGGCCCCAAATATTGGGCTAATTTTTCGTAATGAACAATTACCCCAAAAACGTAAATGAAATTTCACCCCATTTAATTTTAATTCAAATATGGGTGGCGTGTCATAAAGTTCGGTGTCATATTTTCCATGGGCGTTATGACTCACTAAATTGAGTCTAGTGTCCATAGACGTTATAACAATTTCAAAAGTGCCACAATGCATATGAGCAATGTAACATAAAGTCCATGGATTTCAAAGAGTCCATTTATCAAAAGAAGGCTTAATTTAGCGAAGCCGGTATTCGAAATACCCCTGCGCCCGGCCGAAGGCCGGCTATCCAGAACACTTTTTAAATGGAGTCCAAAATGCAACATACACCAAATTTAGGATAAATTCTTTTGGGGGTAAGAGTGTCCCTTTCTTAAATTCTTTACAAATATTCAAATACAGTTCTGTTTTAAAAAGGGCAATGGACATTATAACACTTTTAAAAATTGTCATAACGTCCATGTACACTATGAAACTTTTTGGTGTGTCATAACGTCAATGGACATTATGACACCCCACCTCAAATATATGCTAATATATTTATAAAATTTCATATTTAAAATATTTGTTGTATTTTCATAAAATGTTTGTTAATTTTGAACATTCTTAAAACATTTTTTGTAAAATCGCGCGATTTAATAAAAAAAATATTTTATGTAATAATATTTGTTGTATTTTATGTATAAAATATCGCGCGATAATGTTCTGAATTTTTATAAAATATTAATAAATAGTAATAATGAAAGATGACCCCTAATTATTATATGGTTTTTTAGGTCCCTTTTTAATTTTTTAATATTCACGTATTTTACAAAATTTAAAAATGAAAATTAGCCCCAAAGGAAAAATGGCTTTGCTTTTGGGTTATTTCTTCATTTCACAACATTGGGGTCATTTTTATTTTTTTTGCAAAATGCAGTATCACCCCAAATGTAAAAATGTTGCAATACCCCAAAAAAATATAAAAAAACAACGTGTTTCTGTTTCCTTTATCTTTGTTGGGGCCATATTTCGTTTTATATTTTGGGGCCATTTTACCTGGGGCCATAATTCGCAGCGCCGTCTATTATTTTTCAAATTTAGAAAGTTCATTTTGACAAAACCCAACTCTAGACGACAAAAAATATTGTATTTGTTGTGTTTGTTGCCTAAACTCTCTCACCTTACTTATAACATCATGGTTACAGTTTAATATCAAACAGTTTACATACTTTTAAATTGTGTTTAAAATTAATAAAATGACTAGATGGAAATTTATTTATATTAGATATACATATAATATTGTTTACTAATTAATAAAATTAGTGTTTTTTTTAATTGAACTTAATTTTAAAATTTGCCATTCTTAATTTAAAAAAATATACAGTAAGGAACAAATGAACTATTTTATGACACTTAAGGTGCTTTCACATTATTCTAGATGACATTGGATATCCATTTAATATTGTTAAAAGAAATATAAATTGAGAATTGAATCACATTGCAAAAAATTATCCAATTAGAAAAATATAACGAGAATTCATGAATATGGTATTTTTATTGCAAACCAGTAACCAAAGCCGCATCTATGATATAAGTTTTAAAAAATATAAAAATATTATTCGTAAGTTTATAACATTTTGAAATTTGTCTATCTCTATATTTTCTAAAAATTGCTTTAAACTCGTTTATTGTGGATAATTTTCTGTTACAAAACAAGTTTTCTTGCTAAAAACAGAACATCATATTGGGTTTTCTTTTTCAATTTGGCTCCTTTTACATTATATATAATATTTATTGATATTTAATACAAATAAAATTTTATATTTTTATGAAAAACTCTATCTGTTGGTAGTATGAACATTTTGGTAAAAATCTATCTGTTATAAATTTGTAAGTAATTTTGCTCCATACGAATTTCATAATATGATGTCTTTGTAAATGCAATTAATTTGTGCATCACTAAATTTTAGAAAACGAAAAATAAAAAGATATAAAAATCAATTAATATTAAAAAAATAATCTAAGGATAAAATAAGAAAAATTTGTGAATTAACGAACGCATTATAACTTTTTTATTTTAATTATTTTTTGAAATGTCATTTTATTTTGTAGGACAATGTAAAAGCACCTTTAACATCTCATATTTCTGTTAAAATTTACAATAATTGTTGGTTCTTAGCAAATTAAAATAAACAAATTTTTTTTGTTTTGTCTTGCAACATAATCGTATTTTATTTACATACGAATCTTATTGTTAAACCTATTCGTGCCGAACACAATTTCGTATTTCTACGATTCTAAAGGTAAAAATTTGCTTAAACTTTTAAGTTTTAAACCGCTTTTAACACTTTGTTCCACTATGGTTTCCTTTGTACTTTCTATTGAACTCGCATCACCTTGTGAATTTTTATCCGATTTCTCCATCAGGAACCACTGCTTTTTATTTAATAAAAATAATAGCATTAGTAGGGGCAAATGGATCAAAGAAAAACGGAAAAGTTTGCGAGATGTTCCACTATCTGATTTTTGATAAAATTTGTAAGCTGTAATGATAAAAAATATTTATATAAATAAATGATGGTTGTAGCAGTACACATTTATTAATCATTATTTTATTATTATATTTAATCATTATTTTATTATTTAAAACTATTTTTGAATCTAACGTTTAATTTAAAATACAATTCAGTATACATTATTGTTTGAACACGACTCTGTATTAATTTATATCCATATTTGAATTTAACGTAATGCTTAAAATGCACCTCTGTATGAGGACATATCATATTAGAATTTAACGCATTGATCGAAGTGCACCTCTGTATGAAAACATATTGATATTTGAACTTAACGTTTATTTCCACATACAACACTATGATTATTTTGTATACTATTTTAAAACAACTCTGTGCATTGATATTATTATTCTGAATACCATTACAACAACCATGCTTGAAAATGGTATAAAAGCAGCGACATTGCTGTGTAGAAGTTAAGTAGCATTCTGACTTTCATATTGTAAAGAACATTGTCCAGACTTTTTAGTACCGGACGTGCAATTTCAATTGAAAAAAGATAAAAACCTACTAGTGTGTTTTAATAAATATTGTATATTTTAAACCCGAATTGTGTTTTTTTTGATGACAACATACAATCTTCGGAATAAGATTGTCTCATTGGCGCCCAACTTAGTGGCCTCGAAGACTTTAGCCGAGGAAGAAAAGAAGAAGGCCAACGCCGTGGCCGATAGCACCAACGCAGCGTCATCTACAGTAGCTGGAAGTGACTGCAAACTAGTTTTCGTAGAAAACGAAGCTAGTAACATAACAGCTGACGTCGAGACGGTTAGCAACAGAGAAGCGGTTTTCGGTGAAAACGAAGCCGGCAGAGAATCTCAAATTGGCAGCGAAGTGGTTTTCGTAATAAACGAAGCCAGCGACGACAACATGGCAACTTTTTCAGCTGAACAGTTCCAGCAGATTTTAGCGGCTATGGGTGGTAACAGCAGAGGCGGTTCCTTTACCCAATGCTCAGCGCGCTATAAAGGGCAGAGAGATCCCGCTGCTGTGGAGGAATTTTTGGCAGCCATCAGCGTCTACAAGGACATTGAGAAAATTTCTGATAATGATGCAGTACGAGGAATGCCCCTACTGCTTGAAGATTATGCAGCTACATGGTGGATTGGTGTCAAGGACACCGTAGTCAACTTTGAGGATGCGAAGGCTCTCATCCGTACCACATTTTCGCCACCAATTCCAGACTGGCGTATTTTCACCGATATATTCGAGTTGAAACAGCAGAAAAAGGAGCCAACAGACAGCTTCATTTGTAAAAAGAGGCTACTGTTGTCACAACTCAAAGTGCCTATATCCGAGGAAGTGCAGCTGAATATGGTTTATGGTCTTCTTAATATTACAATCCGGGACCGTGTTCGCCGCGAAACCATAAGAACATTTAGCGAACTTATTTCTGCAAGCAGAGAGGCGGAAATGTTCGTGGCAGAATCTCGGCCAACAACAACCAATGCAGACATTAAGCAGGAAAATGTCCCTAGCAACCGCTGTGGGTTTTGCCGCCTAAAGGGCCACAGTATTGAACATTGCTTTAAGAAAAATAAACGTGATGAACAACAAGCCAAGCAACAAACATATGAACAACAAGCCATGCAAGAAGTAGATGAGCAGCAACAAAGACAAGTTCGTCAGCCACACACCACTTTATTAAGAAAGCCAACGTTTTCCTGTTATGGGTGTGGTGCATCGGGAGTGTATCGTGCAAACTGCCCCACGTGTAGTAACCACCCCAAAGAAAGCCCTCAATACTTGGCATTTAACTCGTTGTCATCTACCATTATTGGTCACGCATTGCCAACAACTCATATTGAAATATTTGGGTTGAAAGGGGAAGCAGTTTTCGACTCTGGAGCAAAAACGAGCATAGCCAGCCTCAACCTGAAAAAGATCTTAACTAAAAACGGTTGTGTGTTTCAGGACGTTCGTGCTGAGGTTACGTTAGCCAACGGTTCCAGCACCACGGGAAAGGTAATGCACACCATTTGTGACGTGGTAATTGGTGGTAGAGTTAGGAAAATCCGACTCGTCTATCTTCCAAACACCGACAAAAACAAAACCTTGCTTGGAGCGGACTTTTTAGAACAGGCTGGAATAGTCTTAAATATGGCGCAAAGATGCTGGTACTTTGAGGATGAACCCAAAACCAGATTTTTCTTCACTAATCCTCTTGAAGTTGGAGTTTTTAGCATGGACCTCAACAGTGATGAGTGTTCCCCATGCAGCAAAGCCATGAACGAAGTTTCAAAGTTCATCAGTTTTGTTGAAGATAGGAAAAGAATTTCACCCTTATCTAACACACCCAAATGTTCGAATGATTATTCGCCACACTCTATCCAGAGTATATTTCGGGATGCAATACCTGTTGGAGAGAGAACTCCAAGTGAGATATCTTCACTATTTGGTCCCCCAATTAAAGTCAGGAAATCCGAACAAGATGCATACTTGGCTGAAGTCTTTTTGCCCTTATACTCATTGGATATCCGCCTTTTAAAAGATTCCGATGATATAGGGCTGACAGACAAGAAACACGAGGACTTAGACAAACTTCTGATGTCCCACATTCCCAGTTGTAACGCTCTTGGGACAGTTTTGCTCCAGGGGGAGGGTACAGAGGATCACCAACATGTTTCACACCCACTGGAAATTGATTCCAAAGTTTTGGCTGCAAACTATGGGTTTAGCAACTACAAATACGTGCCAAAAATAGATAGTCCTTACATCGTAATGGACAGAATAGGAGCAACTACATCTATAATTACTCATGGAGACGACATAACTATACCATTGGATACTTATCACGCATCAGATGAAGCCATAACGCCAGTACAGATGAATAGACGAAGAGGACGCCCACCAAGAATCTAGCTGCTGCCTCACCGGGACGTTATCGGCATCAGAGGGGGAGTCTGTAGCAGTACACATTTATTAATCATTATTTTATTATTATATTTAATCATTATTTTATTATTTAAAACTATTTTTGAATCTAACGTTTAATTTAAAATACAATTCAGTATACATTATTGTTTGAACACGACTCTGTATTAATTTATATCCATATTTGAATTTAACGTAATGCTTAAAATGCACCTCTGTATGAGGACATATCATATTAGAATTTAACGCATTGATCGAAGTGCACCTCTGTATGAAAACATATTGATATTTGAACTTAACGTTTATTTCCACATACAACACTATGATTATTTTGTATACTATTTTAAAACAACTCTGTGCATTGATATTATTATTCTGAATACCATTACAACAACCATGCTTGAAAATGGTATAAAAGCAGCGACATTGCTGTGTAGAAGTTAAGTAGCATTCTGACTTTCATATTGTAAAGAACATTGTCCAGACTTTTTAGTACCGGACGTGCAATTTCAATTGAAAAAAGATAAAAACCTACTAGTGTGTTTTAATAAATATTGTATATTTTAAACCCGAATTGTGTTTTTTTTGATGACAACATACAATCTTCGGAATAAGATTGTCTCATGGTGTAATATAAAAATATTTATAAACACAATTATTATACTTAGTTCGGGTTTTCTGATAAATATAATCTACATTCTTTATTTAAACGTAGTATAATCTATATTTTGTGTTTTTCAATAATCAGTTACGTTAGTTATTATCTTAGTTTAAATGAGTGTTATTGGCCAATTTAACCTAACTCAGCAAAAAAGTGTGGTAAAAGATCTAGTATTTTCATCACAACTAGTAACCCGAAGTGATTCAAAAACCAGTGAAAAATCTATGAATTTTACATTAGCTTGTCATTGGAGGGATGTTGTTCATTTTTGACAACTTTGAACTACATATAATTTTATTTTTATAAGCAGTAAAAACCGATATTTGGATGTCAAAAGTAAACTACATTCATTCACGCTTATGTAAATTTGATGTATGTACTTCAAATATGTTATTTGTAGTGACTTTTCTACATCTCATTCCTCACTTTTAACTGGGTTTAATTTGTTATGAAACATTTGGTTTATAAAAGCGAAAAATATGTAATCCCATTTTTAGATGTGATTAAGATGTTGTTTTTAAAGTGTGACATCAATTATTTTTTACTGGGATGTCATTTAAAGAATGTGCTTTATTTTTGACATCCAAATATCGAATTTTTACTGCTTCTAAAAATAAAATTAGATGTAGTTCATAGTTGTGAAAATTTAATAACATCCCTTCAATGACACGCTAATGTAAAATTCATAGGTTTCACCTAAATTGAAAGTACTTCAAATATGTTATTTGTGGTGAATCCCAGCAAAAAATAATTGATGTTATACTTTACAAACTACATCTTAATCACATCTACAGATGCGATTACATATTTTTCACTTTTATAAAGTTTATTTATAAGTTTAGTTGCGGAGTCAAGACACTTAACATCGATTAACTTCGATATGAGCAGTTTCCACTTTGCGCACAATTTCGACACTAATTTTTATTCACAGGACTGTCCTGAGTTCTTTGTTAATTTTTGGAGCTGATAGGAGAAGGTTCTTTCAGTATTTCTCTGTCGTCCTGTATTGACAGCAGTTTTGGACGACTGGTAAATACTCCATGGAATTCTTTGTTCCATGCGTGTAATGACAAAATATATTGTCGATGGGAATCTATCAAACATTTCCTATATGTATTTAATTGATCGGCCTTGAATATACAGATATAAATTAATTCTTTAATTTGAATTGATCAACTGCTTTTCTTTGAACATTTTAAGCGCTTATACAGGATGAATTTACAACATAATTATGCAATTTTCCAAAAAATATAATGTTAAATATTCCATATAACCACTACCTGCTTAATGGGTTAATTAATGGGCAATAAAACACGTGTTCAAGGATTCTAAAAAAAGTTCTTAGAAAAAATTCGAATATTTTTGCGCAGTATTGCGCGAATTGTGTTTTTTTTGATGACAACATACAATCTTCGGAATAAGATTGTCTCAT